AAAAAAAAAAAATCTCACTATGTCGCACTCAGTAGACAATGCACCCACCACAATGCCCAGCTATTTTTGTTGTTGTTGTAGTTGTCATTGTTTAGCTGGCCCAAGCCAGGTTTGAACCTGCCAGCCTTGGTTCATGTGGCTGACACCGAGCCTTTACGTTTGTTTTCTGAGAGGTGCATTTTTCCATGTTAGGCCCGATTTGCCCAGGACAGAGTCACAACTCTTAATTCAGTATTTGAAAGTTTCAAGTCTTTCTCACCCTTGGCACAAATTATACAAACAGGGTCCAGGATTTTTCATGTAAGTCCTCCCTCTCTGAAACTAGGTAACACCTATGTCCTGAATCCCCGGTTATATAGGGCCAGTTTCTTTTGTCCTGGGGTGAGGACGAAGATGTCCTCCCTAACCCCTGAGAATAGCTCAAGAACACAATACCTTGGGGTGTGTGTGTGTGTGTGTGTGTATCTGCCTTGTGGGACTAAAGCCCCCCAGCTCTGTTCTGCCCTGCCTTGGCCACCTTCTTCTAGATGAAGACAAGATACTGTGGTTTACAGTAAATATTTAATTGATTCCTTCAGCAATTCCAGCACAAATTTTCTTGGAAGGGAGGCAGAATCCAGCTACCCAAAAGTTCCTGAGGTATGGGGTTCACCATGGAGATCCCAAGAGTTACTGACCCCACTCCACATACCTGATGGCCCTGTAGAATGAGGAACTTGACAGAATGTCAAGTGAAGGAGAAGGAATGCAGATTATGGGGAGGATAGGAGAGACTCCCTACATAGAAACAAGGGTCCTCAAACTTTTTAAACAGGGGGCCAGTTCACTGTCCCTCGGACTGTTGGAGGGCCGGACTGCGGGCCCCGGGATGAGTTGGCTGCTAAGCAGGACAGACAGCAGCAGCAAAAACACCTGGCGAGCCGGGTAAATGTCCTAGGCAGGCCGCATGTGGCCCACGGGCCGTAGTTTGAGGACACCTGGGCTAGAAGTACACATTCAAGTTCTCAACTGCTATATGTAGGAAAAAACAGACAAGCCACTCTCCATCTATTTAGTATTAGGAAACCCTCCCAAAGTGGTATTCTGTCACCTGTATTCTATCTTCCCAATTCTGTGTTCCACATCCTAAATTCTGTGGTTCAAACCAAAGTTCTAAATTCTGAGTTCTACCTTCTGGCTTCCTGTTACATGTCTGCTTCCTGCCCCTAAATCTTTCCTGACTCTCATTCCTCTTCCCAGCTTCTCTGGTGATATGTCCAGACCTCCTTTGGACCTTGCTAATTTGAGGGGTTTCTGTGGCAGTTCCAGGCTTTTCAGCAGCATCACTGCAGAGGTGAGATCTTCAAGGGTATCATGATCAAGACTCCATGTGTTGCAGGAGGCTCAGACTGTCCACAAAGTGGGTGGCCCAATGGAGACCAGGGAAATCCCAAGGGCCTGGCTTGACTGCCTCTCTTCCTAGCCCATCACTAACCACTAGACATGCTACCTTTTGTGCAACTAAGTGAAATTAAAGATTTCTGTGTTGATTATTGGCTACTGGTGGCCTGGAGATGAGGAATCTTAGTAGAAGATTAAGAAGACCTAAAAGATTGTTCTTCTTCATACAGGGATAATAGAAATTACTCCCAGCAGGAGGAAGGAGGCAGGTGGGGAAGCCAGGAAAAGTCTGGGCAGAGGTGTATATCCTCAGAACCTTGCCATCCTTCAGTTCCCCCTTATCTGAGCTGAGCACTGCCTCTGAGTCCTCCCAAGAGCCTAAGGTAAACCAAGACTTGTCTGGGGTTGCCCTGAAGAAGAAGTGGGAAAAGGGGGAGGTTTCAGCAGCATCACTGCAGAGGTGAGATCTTCAAGGGGATCATGATCCGAGACTCCATGTGTCGTACCAAGGGGACTGTGGAGAGAGACAGAGGTCACAGAGGGGACTAAGACAAGCCAACAATCTCCCCTACCCCCACACACTGGCCTTTCCAGGAGGAGGCCCCAAATTCTGAGACAGGAAAGCTCCTTTGGAAGGGCCTATGGAGACCATCAGGTTTCCCAAATCATGGGATAAGATGGAACTTAGAAGATAATGAGATTTTCTTAAATTAAATTTTATTTTGTTTTTTTGTTTTTTGAGAGAGAGTCTCAAGCTGTCATCCTAGGTAGAGTGCCATGGTGTCACAGCTCACAGCAACCTCAAACTCCCTGGCTTAAGTGATTCTCTTGGCTCAGTCTCCCAAGTAGCTGGGACTGCAGGCACCTGCCACAATGCCTGGCTATTTTTTGGTTGTAGTTGTCATTGTTGTTTGGCAGGCCTGGGCTAGATTCAAACCCGCCAGCTCCAGTGTATGTGGGTGGCGCCCTAGCCACTTGAGCTACAGACGCCGAGTTGATTTTCTTAAATTTTAATGATTATAGATGTATTTTACTGTGTATTGTGGAAAAGAAAGCTAGCATAATAAAAAATGACTTCATAGCTGGATGCAGTAGGCTTACACCTATAATCTCAGCCCTTTGGGAGGCCAAGGTGGGTGGATTGCCTGAGCTCATGGATCAGCCCAAGCAAGAGCAAGACTCCATCTCTAAAAAATAGCTGGGTGTTGTGGAGGGTACCTGTAGTCCCAGCGACTTGGGAGGGTGAGGCAAGAGAATCACTTAAGCCCAAGAGTTTGAGGTTCCTGTGAACTCACAGGAGACACAGGAGACACCATGGCACTCTACTGAGGGCGACAAAGGGAGACTCTGTCTCAAAAAAAATAAAAAAACAAAAAGACTTCATAGATATTATTGCAAAGGACAAAGCTAGGCTAAAACCAAAGTCAGAGGATTTAAAGAAAAATATCAAGACAGCTATGAGGAGGTCCTCAACAGGCTGAGATTTGAAAAACACTGATGTAGAGCGCCAGCCCCATATACCAAGGGTGGCAGGTTTGAACCTGGCCCTGGCCAGCTAAAACAGCAGTGGTAACTGCAACAAAAAATAGCTGGGCACTGTGGCAGGTGCCTGTAGTCCCAGCTACTTGGGAGGCTGAGGCAAGAGAATCGCTTAAGCCCAAGAGTTGGAGGCTGCTGTGAACTGTAATGCCATGGCACTCTACTGAGGGTGACAAAGTGAGACTCTGTCTCAAAAAAAGAAAACAAAAGAAAAACACTGATGTAGCCCAACTGCTTCATTTTACAGATGGGGAGGCTGCAGCCTAGAGAAGGTCAGCTCAAGGTTATCTCAGAAATTGGACTCCTGGCTCAGAGATTTTCAAACTTTAACATGCATATAAATTACCTGAAATTTTAGTAGAGTGAAGATTCTGATTCAGTAGGTTGGGGAAGAGGTGGAGAGTCTACATTCCTAACAAGGTCTTGGGGAATGATGATACTATAAGTTAGAACCACACTTGGTGTGTTTTTTTTTTTTGAGACAGAGTCTTACTTTATCGCCCTTGGTAGAGTGCCATGGTGTAACAGCTTACAGCAACCTCCAACTCTTGGGCTTAGGCGATTCTCCTGCCTCAGCCTCCCAAGTAGCTGGGGTCTACAGGTGCCCGCCACAATGCCCAGCTATTTTTTTGTTGCAGTTTGGCAGGGCTGGGTTTGAACTCGCCACCCTCAGTATATGGGGATGGCACCCTACTCACTGAGCCACAGGCACCACCCTAGAACCACACTTTGAATAGGAAGACTCCAATGACTCCTTCAGAAGACAAGTTTACTCTCATACCAGCTGGTAAGTGTTTATTATAAGCTCCTCAAGGGCAAAGAAAGGCTTTTCTCTTTCACTTATGTGCCCCCCTATTTCCCCTGCCTACCCACTACAGTCCCCGACACACAGTGAGGGCTTCATCAAGACCCACTGACTCTAGGTGGTTCCAGAGGTCCTAGCAAAGTGGCAAATGCTTTGAGAAAAAAACTTATTCAGGCTCTGCACAGGGTTCACAATTATAATCCTAGCACTTTGGAAGGCCAAGATGGGAAGATCACTTGAGGCCAAGAGTTTGAGATCAGCCTGAGCAAAAGCAAGACCCCATCTCTACAAAAAAAATAGAAAAA